CGCTATGAGTCGGGGCCGACTCGACGGCAAACAACAACAACAACAACAGCAACAGCGCTTGGGACATAGTAGGACTTCATTAAATGTCAGTCTCCAGCCCCCAAACACATAGATATTTCTAAATAGAGGAGTCACCCTCCATGTATGTATTTTTTTTTATCTGAGAACATAAATGGAAAAATGTCCAAACACATATTCAGAACAATAGACATCCTATCTTTATCTTTAAGAGCCCAGGTGAAGCATGAAGAGGAAACAGATATCTTCTGTACAGTTAGAACTGTGCGAACTCAAACTAAATCTTGGAATTTCACAACTTTTACAAAGGAAATAAAAAGCAATTCATAAAACATCTGGACTAGAAGCCAGTACATCTAATTTTCAAAGAAACACTTTTTCCAGTGTATGATACCCAGCTTCACTATCAATACTCTTCAAGCTAACCAGAATGTTCAACTCAACACTTTCTTCTAGATCAGGCTTTCATTTTGCTTTCTTCATTGAGTAACATCATTGAGTAATTATTCCCTTTGGCAGTCACTTGAACTTGCCAGTCCTGCAGGGGTTCCACTCTTGTTTACATACCGGTTTTCAGGGTCACTGCTGAAGTTGATTTGCTAGATCCAGCATCGTTACTTGCTAACACTGAAATCAAGTACTCTGTTCCACACTGAAGGGAAGAGATGGTGCAGGAACTGAAAGATGTACTACAGCTCAGCTCTAAAGAGCCACCCAGAGCCATCACAGTATAGTTGAAAGCTCCTTCTGTTGGTGTCCATGAAATAGATGCCTTCAGAGTCCCACTGTCAAAAGAGACTTGGATGTTGGCAGGGGCACGAGGACCTACAGTTTTGAGAAACAATTGTTAAGATCTGTAGTAGCCTCAAGAACTCAAGTATGATTTGGATTAACAATGTCGCAGAGCTTGGAGGATGAGGTAACACAACAATAGGGCAATTTCAAGTATTCAGAGCATAAAATTGGGATTTAGAGTACCTGGGAACTGGTAAAGGTGGTGGCACAGTGGGTAAAGCATTCAACTACTAACAAAAGGTCAGCAATTCGAACTTACCAGCCACTCTGCAGGAGAAAGATGAGGCAGTCTGCTTCCATAAAGATTTACAGCCTTGGAAACCATATGGGGGCAGTTCTACTCTGGCCTATAGGATCACTATGAATTGGAATTGACTCAGTTGCAGTGGGTTTGGCTTTGGGCTTGGGGACCTGGTAACAGTTCTACCATTAACTATGTAAACTCATAACTATCTATGTGACCTTGACCGTGTTATTTAATCTTGTTGTTGTTGTTGTTATGTGCCGTCGAGTCGGCCCCGACTCATAGCGACCCCTCCTTGGGTTTCCGAGGCAGTATCACTACGGAAGTAGGATTGCCCAACCTTCCTTCCGAGGAGTGGCAGGTGGGTTTGAACCGCCAGCCGTCTGGTTACCAGGCAAGTGTCTTAGCCACTATGCTACCAGCGGTTATTTAAAATTTTCTCATCTGTAAAATTGTTCTAATAAGATCTGTGCCTAGCATATAAAAATCTGAAAAACCAAACTTGTTGCTGTTGAGTCAATTCCTAAGCATTGCAACTGCATGTGTTGCAGAGCAGAACTGTTCCATAGCGTTTTCTTGGCTGTAATCTTTATGGAAGCAGATTACCAGAACTTTCTTGTGCAGTGCTGCTGGTTGGGTTTGACACATCAACCTTTAGGATAGTAGTTGAGTATAAACTATTTGCACCACCGGGTACCCAGGCCTAGCACATAATAGGTGCTAAATAAATGTGTGTTGAAAGAATGCACAATTTGACAAATAGTTGAAAGAATTAAATAAAATTATAAATATGGAATGCTATATGGGTTTATGTAGGTATATTATTATTAAGTGATAGATCAAATGTTCTCTCCATTGGATTAGCTTCAAAAATATCTCTTCATTACAGGAGCAAGTAGTTGGACCTGTGGGCTTGGGACCATGGTTGCAGGGGACCTCAAGCTCAACATACTACACAGAAACATTGTTCCACATACTATTTTGGTGAGTAGCAACTGGTATCTTAAAAGCTCGCTGGCAGCCATCTAGATGCAACAATGGGTCTCTTCTCATCCAGAGCAAAGAAGAAAGAAGAAAACCAAAGACACATGGAAACAATTAGTCCAAGGGACTGGTACACCAGGTGATCCTCAGCCTATATGACTATAAGACCAGAAGAACTAGATGGTACCCAGCTAACACTGTCAATCACTTGGAGGGAGATCTACGTAGGAGAACCTTGGCAGAGTGGGAGAACAATGTGGAACAAAACTCAAAATCATTAAAAAAACCAAACAAGGTACCAGGTTTGCTGGTCTGATGAAGCCTGGTGGAACCCTTGGGACTATGGTCCCTAGTTGCCCTTCAGATCTGGAACTGAACCTCCTGTGGCTTCCAGCCAAACAAAAGACACGCATATAAGTTGAACATTTACATTAGATACACTCCTTGGAGAGATCAATCGCGGGAGAATAGAAGGGCAGTGTATACACAGGGAGAAGCTCAGGGGGGCAGGAGTGCATGGGAGGGAAGCACACAGGGAAGAGATAACTATGGGGAGGAAGTGAGAAGAGAGCTATTGTATTGTGGGAAACTGCAGCCAATGTCATGAGACAAAGTGTACGTGAACTGCTATATGGAAAATGAATTTGCTCTGTAAACTTTCACCCAACTTACAATAAAAATTTTAAATAAAATTTTTTAAAAAGTCAAGGAAAAGTTTCTAAAAAAAAGTA